TGTAATTGTCCCAGGGCAAAAAAATAGGCAATTTCTCACAGTCAATACCTCTCCACGTTAATCTGGTATTCTCTATCACTTATATTTCTTAAGGTGTTTTTTTCTTTCTTTCTTTCTTTCTTTTAAATTATTTTACAATTTAAATTTACTAAATTACAAAAGAATTACCTTTAAATTAAAAAAAAAAAAAAAAACCCTTCTAATATTGTACCCTCCTCCCCCTTCAAAGGTCCTATTTTACTGCAAAACAGGCCATCCTTTTTTTTTGTGCATCAACAGATAAATGATGAATGTATATTTCCATAGGTTGGTTGCTAGATATATCTCACGTTTTTTCATTTGTATTACTACCAAGTACAAAGTCAACAATAATATTAATGGTATCCATTCTATTTTTTATCATTAGACATTATTTTTTTGAGCATCCACAAGGTAATTAAAACTCACAGCACAATCCGCAACAAGAAAATGAGCATGGAATCTTCCAAGTGCAAAAATGATAAAAAAATAAAAAAAAAAATTAATAATGGCCTGCCTTGACAAGAGTTAATCAGCTCTCATTTGGCAGAACAAGACGATCTTGACCTTCGATGAGCTTGGCTGATCGAATCACATCTCCAGATTTAATCTGTGGCAGAATTTCTCTCCCAACAGTTGTATACCTGTCAATTATGAAAGATACTTATATAGCACATCCTTTGATACTAATCTTGTGATTACTGATAATAATAGGTTTTAAGGCTTAAGAAATTACCCAAAGACTGAAAATTGGCCTTCATCAAAAGATATGCCTCCTAAGCCAGCCTATTTAAATCACCAAGATTGTTTCAAAATGTGGATAGGATTTACTTGAGGAAAGACAACCTATGAATGGTGCTAGTTAAAGAAACTTACATTTCTTTTATCATATAAATAGAAGAAAAATTGATATGGGGATGAGTAATCCTCGGAGCCTTCATTGTGTGCCATAGCGACAGCTCCATAAACAGATAAGGGAAGAACTGGTAATTCACCATCCTTCATTGTAAAATTAAAGAATGAAACTGAAGACTTGGTTGAAACTTGGGGTCAGCTGCAATTGCACAATGTGTAAAAACAATATATGACTACATACCTGCACACTTAATGTTGTTCTGTACAAAGGCTCAAATTGCCCAGATGGCATTATTTCCAAGGGAACACTGTAACCATTCTTATCAAGACCACTTTCTGTAATAACAGCTTGATTAGCACAGCTGAGTCTTGCCCCATCATATGCTCCATCAATTACCTGAAGAAAATGTAAAAAGAAGATTATTAGGAGAATATGTGCAGACAAATAATTTCCATTGCAGTTCTTGTTTTGTAGTTCAAGTCAATGTTCGGCCATTCCCATCTTTCTGGTTTCTTTAATATACTGGTTCAAAGTTTTATTTTATTTGGATTTTGGAATCACATTGATTATTCTATATTGTCTGTAAATGTGTTATCTACATTGCTTTTATTTGTTCATAAGCCACTTCATATTACTACCTGGTATCCCACATATATAATGGGAAATGAAAATGGAATTAAGTAATGAAGCATGTGAAGAACCAAAACTATGCATTGACAATAACAATGCATCAGACCTTTAGAAAAGTTATTAGAGGTCTAAATACCTTACCAGTTTTGCAAAATTCCCTGCTGTCAGTGGTGCTGAATATCCATCCACAGTAATCTAATCAATAAGTAGACAATTAGCTGATGTTAGAATTTGTTACAGTAACCAATAAAGATTCACTTTTCTACATACCATATTAACCACCCTTCAAAAATTAATGGTTCCATTTAATCCAAATATGTCTTAAGTTGTGAAGCACGAAGGTTCAATCTATCCTGTGTATACCATATTAACCACCCTTCAAAAATTAACGGTTCCATCCTGCTAAACTATTTTGTTTAAAAATACCTGAATTGTGGCAGCCTTTCTCGGTTGACCACCAGCTTCTGGAGAAAATGTTGAACCATCACCCCTCTCAATAGTAAGTTCAACTGTTCCTCTCCCGGTTAGCCTACAGATGACAGAATATCGATTTTTAGTTAAAAGAACAGATAATACCAAAATACTACTTAGCACTTTGAAGTATAAAAAGGTAATTGATCAACAATGTCATAGATGAAAATGGAAGATTAGGCTATTCTTAGTAAAAAGTGAAACTAAATGCAGCTGTTACTTGCAGAACTTCCATCACCGTGTGAAACCCTCCGTTTATTACTACAATTCAGAATTCATATCTATTACCTTATCCCCACAAGGCAAAGTAAATTGCTGGAATCACATATTAATCTTAAAGACTCATTAGGATAGTGAAAGAAAAAATGACTTCAACTTTTGGAGAAAACTGACCTTGGATACTTCAAGTATTGCTCAGGCAACAAAAATGACAATCCTGGTGCCTGTTGCACAATAACAAGTACCCTATTTTATCATGTTCCTTTTACTCTAATAAAATAAGCTCCAATGCGTCATTGATTTTCAACTTTATAAATGTTTCTATGCATCAAAATAAATCCTAATGGTATTAGGAGTCATGGTTACCTGTAATAACTCCAACTCTGCAACAGTATCCAGTGAAGATGCTAGGCCAACAGATACTTTATCTGGGTCTTGATCTTTGATACATTTTAGTAGCTCTTGCAATCCACCCTAGTAAACCAAAGGAATATGATCATTCAAGCAAGTATTTGCAATGGGGCATGAGCTCAAATGAGGTTTTTCAGCAGGGGCATAAAAGAAATATGCTAGAGACATTCTCAAAGAATCTCATCTAAATCAGTTAAAATTTCTTATCAGTACCTTTCCGTACCTTCCCATCAATAAGAGATGCATATGATGTTGTACCCTTCTCCCTCAGATCTGCAGGTATACTAGCCAAAATAGAATCCTTCTCATCACTTGCTATCTGAAATAAGATGAAGCTAGCTTAAATTACAAAGCCGAAAATGGTAAGAATGATAACTACAGCTAAAAGAAACTACCAAACATGATCACACATGGGGAGGAATGTACAAGGGACGAGCAAGAAAGAAATGATTATTTAAACAGAGGACAGTCAGTAAGCAAACCTACAGGATAACAACAAACCAGCAGGAAAGATGACTTGATAATGTAAACCTTCAGCAAAAGCAAGGCATATGACATCTAAGAAGAAAAACCTGATACCTTAAGAGCTTTCTTCACATTGCTTTCCATTGTTCCATAAGGTTTTCTTTGTGGAATTCTCAGCAGGTAGGAGATATCTTCCAAAGAAGACTAAAAGCAAAAGCAATGTGGTAGAACCTGATTAATCCCTGAGTTTTGAAAAAGAAAGAAATTCAATTACTGACTTACAACCTGAATAGCCTTCATATTTGTGTTTGCTGGTATAGCTCTCCTTAAAGCAAGTTCCCCAGTTCTTGGAACCTTGGTATCAGGAGAGTAAAGCACCGCATTTGCAGGAGAAATCAGCCAGGATTCCCATCCACTAAAAGGTAGTGGAGATGAAATTTGGACCAAAAGAATAATCGGAGCAATCAAACTCTCAAGTTTCTTTCTTCCATTTTCAAAAGTTGTTGATAAGTACAAGGTGGTTGAAAAATCATGCCAGTGTGCCAAGCCCTGCATGACTAAAAGCCCATTTTAGAGACATCACAGGCAATAATATACATTCACAGTTCTTAATCCAAAATAGAAATACCTAAACATGTTAAAACAAGAAACACCAAAAAGGACCAATAAATTTGCTTATTTTTATCTGCCTGGTTATACAAATGGAAGTAAGACCAAAATAATTGGATTGAATAAACATGTGAAACAATTTCCTCTAACTAAGAAAAATTCTTTAACAAGAACACATTCAATGTAATGGTCACAATCCATTAACAGCATTGTGCCATGACAAGGGTTTCCTTTGCATTGAATTGTCCAATACCAGAATCCAATTATGCCAATGCAACCAACAGTGCTGTTCATTCTTTCCATCATCAAGAAAAATTAGACACAAAATTAAGACAAAAGGAGGCACATCCTACTCCGCAGAACTTATAAACTAAATACATGCCCACATCTCCCATTAATTACTACAAACCTAAACTAAAAGCTGAAAATTAATATAAAAAGGCATAAACCCTCAAACATTGCCTGCAAAAACAACATCAATTAAAGAAAAGCCACAACCTTTCTACAATCCCTTGCAGACTTGCATTGAACTTTGAGATGTAGGGACCTTGCAGTCTCTTGGGTACGGGGTTGACTGAAGCCGAGAGAGAACTGGGTCGAAATGAAATGTCGCTTTAGAGTGGAAGGAGAAAATGGGAGAGTTAAGGGAGAGGATAAAGGGGACGCCATGGATGGAAGTTGTTAGAAGTTGCAGAGAGAGGTTTTTGGCGCGCCTCATCTATAGCCAATGCATATGTGGAAGCCGTTGATTGGGTCTAGCATTGTTTGTTGGATAATCCGAAATGCACACGAGTTAAGACCGTGTTTGGTTTTTAAGATAAAGTTAAACCTCAATTTGAGTCCTTCAATTTTGGTATGGACTCTTGATTTGGTCCATAAATTAAATAAATTTCCGTTTTGGTCCTAAGGTTTTAAATTTCTACTCTTTTTTAGTCTCTTCCTTAAATTTTAACTTAACATCGAAACGTTAGTTGATATCAAAATTTATTTCATCCTTTACATTAGTAATGTAAAAATTTTACAAGGTAAAAATTAATGATGTGAAAAATTTATTATTCATATTGGCCTTTAAAATTTATTTAATCATAAATTACTATTAGATTAAATTCAATTTTGGTGCTTGATTTGGTTTTTAAATTAAATTAATCACTATCTTAAGAAGAAAAAAAAAGAGGGACCAATTTATTTATTTATTTTTTTTTGTGAATAGGATAAATGTTAAGGATTTTTTAAGAAATAAGAATGATTTGAACACAAATCTAGTAAAAACCCTTATATGGGAAGCTGCCACTTACTCTACTTTAGAATTTTTGAGTAATTTAAAGTTTTCGGAACCAAAACAAAGACTCCTTTAGTTTAGGAGCCAAATCAAAGTGTACCAAAGTTGAGGATCGAAATTTAGTATCTATAAATTTGCTAGAACTAAGAAATATGGAATATTGTTATAATATCAAGGGAGAAGGGGATAAGATAACCATGGACAAACATGGGAGTAAACGGCAATCGGACGGTTAGATGAGATGTCTAGTCACTGACCTTGATACAGCCGCGAAGCACTAGATCCCCGCGCGACGTGAATACTGAGTACTGCTGGATCGCCAACATCGAGTGTAGAGTAGCAACGAAGCACACAATTTGAAATCTCACTGAAACCTCTCCGTCTCTGTGGTTCGATCTATGGAGTTGGTCCTCTCTGTGTAGATCGAAGATGACGAACTATCTAGCTCAGTTCCAAACGATCAAGAACGCCTGTGATCATCTCGTCATTGCCGGTAAATCTCGCATCTGGATGTGTTCGTTTCTGGAAAGTCTGTTTCTCGATTAACATTTGAATTTTAGTGTTGATTCTGTTGAATTCTGTTCCGGATTTTGGAGTTTGTTGTTTGATTTGTGAGATTTTGTTGTTCCGATCATGAAGATTGAAGGTTGAGATTGTTTCTTGGAAATTCCAGTAGTTAGTTGCAATCGGTGTGAAGTTTCTATTTGATGTGAAATGTTGTGCAATTTTTATGAGTTTCTCCTAACAATTATTAGCATGTATTTTTTCCAGTTGAAGATGTAAATGATTTGTGGCCTACTCTCAAGAGTAGATTTGAAGAGCGATTGCCATTCAAGAAAGGTTTCTTAAATAACAAGACCAGAAACTCCGTCTTTGTGGAAAATTTGCATGCTGAATTCATATTAACAACAGATGCGAGACTGCGTAGCAGATATCCACAGGAGCAATATTTATTTTGGTTTCGAGAGCCATATGCAACTGTGGTTCTTGTTACCTGTGAGGTAACTTGCTGTCTTATTGACCATATGTATTCAAAACGTAGCTTTTTACCGAACCAGAATTTGTGTATTAACTGTTATACTCTGCTTGGTGGCTTATAGTTCTTTTTCTTATGTGCTTTAAGACATTTTTGTTATCTTCTTTTCACATCCATTTTTCTGTTTTACCTGTACTTGGATAATGCAATTAATTTTTTATATCCATTTTCTCTCAGGATCTTGATGAGTTCAAGAATATTCTTAAACCCCGCTTGAAATTAATTGTTCAAAATGATGAGAAGGAATGGTTTATTGTATTTGTATCTCGAGCTCATCCAAGCAATGATCAAGCCACCAAAATGGCAAAAAAAGTATATTCCAAAATTGAAGTTGATTTCAACTCCAGGAGGAGAGAAAGGTAAACTTGCAGCTCCAATCAATGTGTATTCCAATTGATATATTGAGTATTGTTGTTGTTGGAAACCTAGCATAGGATTGGGGTAGCAGGTGTATAGATTGAAGTTTTGTTTTTGGCTCATTTCTCAAGAATGGCTAGAGAATCCCCGTGGAATTGCTTAGATTATTGCTACAAGAGATATTTCTTCTTCAGTGACAACATAGAATTATTTCTCTTTTTAAGATTAAAATATGATATTAAGGTTCTGAACATGTATTTAAAATTTTAGAAAAAGATGATGTTATGGGGGGAGGGGGTTTAACAAAAGTACCATTCTTGGAAAACTGATCTTTCTCTTTCTTGTTGCTATTTTTTGATATTCTGAAATATGCCTTTGTAGGTGCTGTAAACTAGATTTACATGGTACTGAACCAAAGTTCTGGGAAGACTTGGAGTCAAAGATTATGGAATGCATCAGAAATACCTTGGATAGGCGTGTACAATTTTATGAGGATGAGATACGCAAGCTTAGTGAACAGCGTTTCATGCCTGTTTGGAACTTTTGTAATTTTTTCATTTTGAAGGTTATTCCTTTTCTCTTGAAGATTATGCTAACAAGCTTACTCTTTGTATTTCTTTCTTTTGGTAGCCTCTTTTTGGCTGAATCTTTCCTTGGTATAAGTTGTGTCTAAAAACATAACTCTTCCCTCTTGGTATTTATACGTTCTTGAAAAAGAGAGTGCACTCCACAAGGAGACACTAGTCACAAAACTTGTACATTCAGATTAGCCATGACAGTCTTTCTAAACTTATTCTTGAAGTTTCTGACTATCTACAGGAAAGCTTGGCTTTCATGTTTGAGATGGCTAACCTTCATGAGGATGCATTACGTGAATATGATGAACTGGAATTGTGCTATCAGGAAACAGGTGATTATATATATGCCTTTTTTCACTTACGCATTTATATTACCCTCTTTTTTTTTCTTTTTCTTTTTTTTCTTCTTCACTCTGCTGCTTGAATCAGTTATCTGATTTCTTTGTATGCCTTCAAGTTAGAGTTGTAGCTTAGCTCTCAATATGTTTGTATTTTAATGAATAAGGGTGAAAATTGGATAAAAATATGCAAGGGTTGGGATTACTGACTGTTAATGGAGGTGACTGCTAGAGCTCTATGTTATCCATTTTCATTCTATCTCTCATGTTTGGCTTTGACCTTTAAATTTTCCTAACTAAAAGTTTGGCAGTCCTAAAATTTCATAGAATGCACATTTACATCGTGGATATAATTTCTCAGTTATTCATTGTAGCCATCCAAATGTACTTTTTTTTTT